GGCTGGGGGTCAGGATTTCTGGGTCCTGGGGATGCTGAGGAGGCTAGGGGGAGGGGCAGACAGACAGGGCAGGAGCCACAGGTTGGGAGGTGCCCTGAGGGAGTGAAGCAGGACAGGGAGCCGAGAGGGTCTTCTTTCCCTATCTACCTTAACAGTCTTCTAGTGGGGTGTCGGGGCGTCGTGGGTATGCATTGGGCTGTTCACCGCAAGGTCAGTAGTTCAAAAGCGCCGGCAGAAAGGCAGGCCTTTCTGCTCCCATAGAGAGCTACAACCTCAGAACTTCTCCGGGCATTTCTCCCTTGTCCGACAAGGTCATGAGGAGTCGGGATCAACTGGATGGCGGTGAGTTGGAGTGGCGAGTGGGGTAGGGTGGTGTCCTATGGAGAGACCTGGGCTGGGGCAGCCTTGAAGGGGTGAGGGGCAGGAAGTACTGTGGAGGCACTCACAGCATGGGGACCAGGGGTTAACAACAGCAAGCTAGCCGTGCCCATGGTGCAAACAGGCCCCTCCCTGAGATCAGTACTCCCCCACCACACTGCAGGTCAAGCCCACGCAGCTGAAAAGATGTGAAGGATTGAATTTAGTCACACGCCCGCCCCCTCCCAAAAACAAACAAACAAACAAAAAACCTCTTCGAGGTAAATGCGAGCCCTGACACCTGTGAGTTGGCTGCCACGCCTGTGCCGAGCGCTCTGGGTTGCGGGGTCTGACTTAGTCAGAACTGACTCCGCAGCTATGAGTTAGTTGGGTTTTTTTAAAATCAGAATTTAGACCTCCAATCTTTATTTGTGTAATAATTTTGAAGACCTTTCTCCACGAGGGGTCAAAGATCACAGCCTGATCTGCTCAGGACTGTTTTCCCTGACCTACAACACCTACCGATGGACGTGCGGATGGGCGGAGAGGAAGCTCAGACAGGGCTGGCTGGCTGGCTGAGCAGCTTCCATGTACATGATGATTTGGACCCAGCTGTGCAGGCTCTCCCTGGCAGCCGTACAAGGAGGACTACTCAGTACCCGGTGCCCCTGTTCCTCCAAGGCCCCTTCTCTTCTGCAAGGCACACACTCTATGAATTGTTACCCCTGGATAGAGTGAAGGTTTTGCCACCCCCAAAAAAAGACATTTGAAAGCAATCCCTTGCTTCACATGCTGGCATCTTCCACTGATAACATGAAGGTGTGTATCCCAAACAGATTTTGGAACTCAAGGTGGTAAGAGGAACCCTCTTCAGGACAAAGGAACACGGACAGGTGCAGACTGCTTCGCCAGATGAGAACAATGGCAAGTACTTACTCAATATCCACTGAAGATCGACTAGGTAGGGTAGAGCAAATGTTCAATACCACATCTTTCAATCCTGCATTTCTAGGCTACACCAGGGCCAAAAGGTATGAGTGCAACAAAAGTCCCATAAAACAAAACCCAAACCTGTTGCCTTCAAGTCAATTCTAACACACCCCCTCAACACGACTCACTGCCCCTGAGTCGATGCCAACTCACAGTGACCCTAGAGAGCCGCCCCCGTGTCTGAGACTGCAACTCCTTGTGGGAGTAGAAAGTCCCGTCTTTCTCCTCATGGACCACCCAGGAACCTACAAATAACATCCAAATCAAATCCACGGCCACCAAGCTGATTCGGACTCGTATCAGCCCTGTCTAGGGTTCCAGAAGGAGCTCAGGTGGCATAGTGGGTCATGCATTGGGCTGCTAACTACACGGTCAGGAGTTCAAAACCACCAGATGCTCTGAGGGGGAGAAAGAGAAGGTTAAGTCAATCCCGACTCCTAACCACCCTCTAGGCAGAGTAGACTGCCCCTGTGGAAAAAAGTAGAAAGCCTCCGTCCAAATACTTTAAAACTCCCTCACCACCATGGAGTTGATTGCATGGACCTTAAACAAGATGTAAGTCCAGGTTTGCTTTCATGTAAATGTTCAAGAAATAGTAGTGCAGGATTGACATGGCAGCTCTAGAGGGTAGAGGAAGGAGCCCTGGTGGCGCAGTGGGTTACATGTGAGGCTACTAACGACAAGGTCAGCAGTTTGAATCCACCAGCCGCTCTGTGGGAGAAAGACGTGGCTTTCTACTCCAGTAAAGAGTTACAGTCTTGTAAACGCACAGGAGCAGTCCTACCCTGTCCTATGGGGTCTCCATGAGTCAGAATCAACTCGATGGCAGTCAAGTTTTTTTCACAGGTTGTAGGGGGGGGGGGTAGTAAGCTCAGGCTCCTTGTGTCCTGTTGCTCTGCCATTGTCAAGGGTCAGCTTCTGTCTTTGGAACCAAGCGAGCTATGCCAGCTGACCCCATCCTCTCACCTCAGCCAGGGGGAGACAGAAAACAAGGTGTATTAGTCTAGGTACTTTAAGGAAACAAATCCACAGCAACTCATGTATAGGAGAGTTTTATGTAAAGAAAGTGCGCATCACGAAAACATCCCAACCCAATGCTGCCCAAGCCCACAAGTCCAACATTAACCCATTAACCCAACACCAGTCCACAAAGTCCTCCACCTCACAAAAAACAGGCAATGATGCCGACTGCAGGAGGAAAGCTGAGTCAGTGAACGAATAAGCATCTCAGCACTAGCAGGGGTCTCCACACGGCTGCTCCAGCACCCAGGGCTGCATCGGGATAGGTCCATGTGGCTTCTCCTTGGGGATGTCTTGTAGGAAGTCAATCTTGCAAGCTGAAGCAGGGAACTGCTAAGGCAGCTGCACTCTGGTGCGACCATCACAAAGCAAGAGACCTGAGAACTAGAAAGGCGAGGCTGACCACCCATTTATCCCTCTGCCTTTCAATTAGCCCCACATGTGTTTATCAGGTTGGCACAATTAACTAGCTCACAAGGGCAGTGGCCTCTCCTTGCCTCGTAAGGGGGGATCTAAGAAGTTGCACACAGCAGCCCTGCTCAAGATCCCACTGGCCAGTCTAGCCACACGGTCCGAATCAAGTGAGCTTAGAAGGGAGCACTTTGCTACCTATAGATGTAGACTTGACCAGCAGTGTCTGGGTAAGTCTTCTCTTGCTATAGAAGTGGACCACGGATTCACTACCATTGAGTAATTCGGACTCATAGCAGCCCTGCATGATAGAGCACAACTGCCCCTGGAGGTTTCCAGGGCTATAAGTCTTTTGGGGAGCAGTAAACCTCACCTTTCTACTCTGGAGCAACTGGTAGGTTAGAACTGATGACCTTGTGGTTAGAAACCCAAGGCATAATGGAGCCCAGCACCCTACATTTTGACAGACAGTCCTGGAAGACGCCCTGAGAAGTTATTGCCAGTGGTTACCAGTGTCTGGAGCACCCGGCTGGGAGATGAGGTCAGGAAGGGGCTTTCCTTTTATCGTCTCCACCACTAGAATTTCTTTCAGTGAGCCTGTCTAGTGTTTGCAACTAAAAACTGTAGTAAAACGTCAGCATATTAACACTGGGCAGGCCAGTTCCCTAAGGCCCTCAGCACACACCTGAGAGCTGCCCATAGGAACCTCCCTTGGCTTTGGTTTCCTGACTGAGGGGATCTGCCTGCTAACACACAGACTGCCCCTTCCTCGGAGAACCAAGCACAGTGGGGAGGGGATGCATTACCAACCCAAGAGGCTGCCGGTCTACTTCAAGCACCCAGCACAAGGACACAAGAAGCAAACGGGAGGAGCTGGAATAAGCTTGCTATATGACCAGATGCTAAGCCAGGAAGGAGGCCATGGCAGGAAGAGGGAGGCGGCTGGAATCACAGGTTCTGCAGGGTGAAGAGACTGAGAGTCCTAATTTCCATCGAGGGGAGAAAAGGGGGAATAAA